AAAAAAAACGCTGATCTTTTTGAAGATAAGTAGATCAGAAATATTACCAAAACACTACAATTCACAGCAAAACAAAAATTATGAAAAGTAAATGCACAACATATTATCAAGCAGTTGTTATACAAATATAGTCTCTAATTACAGTGTCATTTCAAGATGAGCCATTATTTGAGTTTGTAAGTGTATATAATATTTCACTGTCATATTTTAAGTTCTTAGAAAACAGCATAGACATTGAGACTTATCCACCTCGATATTCAAGTAAGGTTTCAATGCATATGGGTTTTTCAATGACTAATTATTAAACTTCCACATTTTAAAGATGTGGTTCCAAAACTTGCATAAGCTACAAACTCTGAATCCGCTTCTCTCTTCTTCCATAGGGGATTCTATGCTGCACAGCCTGGTGGTCGTAACAGGCTGCAGTTCAGTGGGAAAAGTCCAGGATTCAGAAGTTTTCCGAGTAACAGGCACTGACTTTGTCTCTCTGAAAAATGACCCCTCGGATGAGGACCGCATTGCTGATGTCAGGAAAGTCTTAAACTCTGGTAACTTCTATTTTGCCTGGTCCTCCACCGGAGTGAGTCTGGACCTCAGCTTGAACGCGCACCGCAGAATCAGAGAAGACATATCTGACAATCGTTTTTTCTGGTGGGTGTTTTTCAAATTGTGACCCCAAAGGTCCTTTTGATTCAGTGTTGAAAGATTTTTTTAATTTAATATAAATACAGTTTTATTCAAAACTGAAAATGTATTTATAGTGGCCATATAGGGTTCATTTTATGTGTGCAAAATATTTCCAACAAAATCTCACTGACTCAGAATGTTGAACTCAGTAGATGATAGATAGATGTAATGGTTATATAATTATGTAATGTCTTCACAGGAATCAGTCCCTCCATCTCCATCTCAAGCATTATGGGGTGAACTGTGATGACTGGCTGCTGAGATTGATGTGTGGCGGAGTGGAGATCCGCACCATCTATGCTGGCCACAAGCAGGCCAAAGCTTGCGTGATCTCTCGGCTCAGCTCGGAGAGAGCAGGCACACGTTTTAATGTCCGAGGCACAAATGACGATGGCCAGGTGGCCAACTTTGTGGAGACTGAGCAGGTA